GTACGTCACCACAAACGAAATTTGTATCTTTAATAAAGTAAAATTGAAGATGAATAATTGGTTTCATCTTTACTAAATATTAGACCCTAATTAAGGCATAACAATAGACTACAGGGGCCGACCAAAACAAAGTAATTTTAGATTTAAATTTCAGAGACTTATAAACAAAAATCTCAAAAAAAAAAATCACAGAAAAATTCATTAATAAATAAAACAGAATTCAAAATCAGATTTAATATGAATATGAATCTCATATTGCCTCTAAAAAAACATATTTGTGGCAAGCTATTATCCACCTATAATTATAAGTTTGGCAAGTACTGTATCCAATAAATAATCTAGTGTACAATAATCCTTCTAGTGATACCTACCATTGCTGTTGTTATCACGATGCGACGTAGTTGAGCCAATTTCTTCTTTGATGCGACAAACACTGTGGGAGTCGTGGAGGATTCTGTCAATTCCAAAGCTTAGTTTAACTGGTGTTTCACGCTGACGACTGGTTGTAGATGAGGTGTTGGCTTCTGTTTTTGAGTCCTCATCTAGATTCGTGGAAATGTCGTCAGTCTTAACTTTTGCTGCCTTCGCCGGCAATAATAACGCGCTCTCGAATGTTGTGTTGTCTGCAGAAGCACACGGACACATCGCTTCAACATTTGATCGCGCTTCTTGACGATAGTGGAACATTCGTACAGGAGCCGTGTTCACAAAACGACCAACATCAACCAGTGACGGTATGCCCAATATTTGGGGACAATGTAAATATGATGAGACGATATTGCTATTTGCTAACATTTCGAGCGGTACTTGGCAATCAAGTAACACAATAAATAATTGTCACCAAGTTGCAAAAAAGTAAAGCGCGTCGTTGTTTCTTTCAGAGCGAAACTTTTGAGAAAATGACACCGATTACCAGATGATACCAAAAAAGAACAGCCTATCATACTTTTGATCGTCATTGAAATAACCGATAACGTTGATTTGCCACGACATCGTAGGCCAGTCCCTGGACGCTCGCAGATACCAAACATAAACTATAACATAACGTTTATAATTAAAACCAGCGATTGTAACTACGTCGTCATTAAGTTTCGCTATTTAGTATACTGGTGAAAGTAGACACAGGTAAATGAATTACGACCAATAGGCCTATCGTCTCGACAGGTTGTGGTTGATAATAAGCCGGTGAGTACTGTCTGCTTGAAGGTGATTGGTCGTTTAAAAGGGATGATCCATAACGCATGACAGCACCGTTTTGATTGGAGCAGCCGAATCACTGGAAGGAATTATTAAGTGATAAAAGTACATCAGTTTTTGTTGTAGGGCAACATGATAATAATTAGGACATCACCCTCCAACGCAGTACTTTTGTCCTCTGGATTGTGGTTTAACATGAGCTCCTGTTAAGCGATTGACTGACTTCCAGCATCCACTGGACAGTAAAATTATCATTACGTTGATATAATAATGATACTAATATTGACAATGATGATGATATTATAATAATTATAATTATTATTACTCTTATTGTCATTATTATTAATAATATCATTATTAAAAACTACTCAAAGTTACCGAAATATTATCAGTACATAAATACAATATGATTTACCTACTTTCATTTTTAGTTAGTATGAACCGGCTCTTAAATAAAAACGCACCTCCACAAAAACCAATACAGTATTATAAAACTGCAAAGCAAACAAGTTTGTTTAAGGTCATGTGACTAAATCATTCAACACCAATCGAATGATTCTAATCAGATTACAACGGGTAGTAGTCCTAACGATTAATTGAATTGCAATTGGAATTTTTATTTAAGAACACTTTGACCCATATTTATGTTAGTGTGAACACGATCCCAACTATGTTTGACGTTTGAAAAATTATTACAACACTTTGATTTACTGTTATTTAGGACTAGAGAACGCCAATAATCATTTAATGGTCGAGCTAGTGTAAATTGTTAGTCTTTCGCTAAACAAATTAACAGTGAGACGACTATAAAGCGGTCCTGGTTTATTTCAAATTCTACTCGTAGCAAATTACCCAAGTAGTTTTAAGGTGAAGTGATGACTCTGGAGTGGTTAAGTTGATAGGCCTAGCCACCATGAGAGCTGGTTTTATTGCGTCTTTGTAGACATCATCAACGTTACACTAAAATAACTAGTAATAAATTCAACTCAGCAAGTTTCTTTTGAAGTGAAACGCCGAAGATGAAGGAGTAAGATGCGCTTTCTATTGCAGATTCGGATTAGATCTATGTTTAAGGGTATTCTTATGTGACATTTAATCGTCATGATCATTTCCAAATGCAAGTTATTTATAACATAAGGTAATAAAAAGACGTTCATGTTGTGACTCAACTACTAGGCCTATACGAGATGATTTAAGCCAGGCTCCAGAAGAAAATAAGAAGGTTTTCCTAAGACACAAAAAGGGTATTTGATGAAAATCTCGGGAACGGTTAATGAGATATTTTTGAATATTTAAAAACTGGGAGAAAACCACCCCTTTTCCACTTTGTGTACCTTAATGTGTATACCATATATTACTTGAGTAAATATGGCATAGTATAAATAGTGGTGTTACTACCAAAAAGATGTGTCCAATGTGTTTCGTATATTAGATCCTTTTGCGCATCACGCACACATCAAGTGCGGTAAATAGGCATGCAAAACAAACCGCTCATGCTATTTAGCCTATTTTCTGGATTGTACGTGCTGTAGTCATTGAAAACAATTTAGTAGTACACAACTGATATAGTAGAATTTTTTTGTTTGTAATAAACTTCTTCTTTTGCTCGCGTACGAGGTACAGTAGCCAATCAATATATTGTATCTAAATATTTTCAAATAAAATATAAAAATAGAATAAATTGTGGCGTCTTCATGATTTATTTGTTTAACAGGATGGATGCGGGCTTGCAATTAAAGATGACTTAAGTCACGAGCGAACCGCTTTAACCACACGAAACGTGGGTGTATCAAATGAATGTATTAACCAGAGATTTACATGTATTGTATTATGATCTAACATTATTTTATCATTTATTTTAATGAATTGCAATGATTTATGACACATTCATGGTACAGTATTTATTAACAGGCCATTTTTGAACCTTTCGATCCACCAGACTAACTAATTAGGCCTAAATACCGGTATACTGTATTTAAATAGCGCCTTTTGCTAAAGGACACGCTGTCCCTCTAACGTAATTAGAAACTTTGTGTGCGTTTGTTTTGGCCTATTTCTTTCAACTTCGTGAGAAAATGTATTGTCATTTATTTCACAATAAGTCGGAGAAATGAAATTTCAAGTATTAAGGTTACTGTTCTCATCAACGAAGTCAATAATTATCTTATACTCTAATGCAGGTAATAACATTGATATAAATGAGAGTATATGACTTTAAAACCTGTCTCTTATACACATCTAGATGTGTATAAGAGAACACATATATACATATATATATATAAATATATATACATATATATATATATATATATATAGCTATATATAGCCTATGTCTACATATTTCTGATTTTATGATACATAGTCTATAGATATACATTTGTATATTTGTACCGTATATATTTTGGCAAATTAGCAATTATTTCATTTCATTTTATTCAGGAAATAAAATAAAAAACATACAAACAAAAAACAAAGAGCAGATAAAAAAAATAAGAACAACAGATAAGACTTTCATTCCTAGGGTAACCCAAGGATGTTTTGAAATATAAAAAAAAAAACTTATTTCTATTGGGACCCTTATCATTAGTATCAATACTATAAACATTCATAAATCTCCCCCAAAACAAAGTTTTCAGAAAAACGCGTTTGAAGTGGACTACTTCACAGAACCTACATTTTTGTTCAAGATATCGAAAATTTATTTTAATGTTAATATTTACGGAATTCATAACATATTATCATCACCCTTATCATATTCATCATAATGATCATCATCACCGTTTACATCATCGTTTTCATCATCTCTATCTTCATCACTGTCGTCATATGATCATCACAATAGTCTTCATGGCCATTGTCTCCGTGAGAAAGAGGGGACGAGTCTGGCAACGACAGACTATTTTTAGAATATAAACCAAAGTAAACAGAAAAGACATAAAATGTCATATTATTGTTTCCAACAGTTATAATTAGCTTAGCTGGGAGTAACTTTCTGCTGGCAACTTGCTCTGCATTCATCAGCCCCGATAATTAGGGGTGCTGCTGGTGGTGTTACAGCATCATCAGCAGGCCCGTAACCAGTTTTGGTAATTGGGGAGGTGGGGGGGGGGGGGGGGGGAGGTGGGGGGATATATTTCAATCTGAGTGGAACTTTTGGTGTCCAGGGGTTCTCTTGAAAACAAATGTTAAAAGCCATGACCGCCACCTTTAATTCAAAATGCTATTCTGGTGTGTTTGAGCTCCTTTCAAAGGAAGTTACCATTTTCGTGAATACATTGAATCGAGCAGAACTCCCTATAATGTGGGAGATCGTCCGATACCCACCCCCTCCACCAACTGAATACGGGCCTGTTCAGAAGATGTTGGAGGTGACCCCTCACATTGTAAACAGCTGGAATTTGGTACCGCCCGCCCACTGTCTCTGTTCAGGGTGCTCCTGTTTCGTTCCGTTTGATATGGGCTGCCTCCACGGATACCTCTTCTCATACATGAGTGTTATTTCAAGATCTTAAATTCCTCCTATATCCATCCTATGGGATGGAGCGTCTAGTGGTGTTGATGTACTCAGCTTGTCCTTTGGTGACAATAGCAGTTGGCGAAACCATGAGAGCTTAAAACACGACGAATACCTTTAAAACCTCCCTTATCAGACGTTTCAAGTACTACGGAAAATGTTGCCAAAACGGAATAGACAAAAATACTACGGAAATTTATCGTAGGCCTAGATGACCCATAAATAAAGTAAAGAAAAATGAATTTTCCATCAGGATACATTCTCCGTATCCACTTCTTGTCAGTGGCCTGTAAATCTTCATCCTGACCTCTTTTTTTTTTTTAAATACCACAATTGTTATTATCCTATACCTGTAATTTAAGCAACCCACATTTTGCACTCAAGACAAATTATTAGGTGCTACAGTACGGAATTTTTGTATTGAGGCATATTTGAAGATTTGGTTACTGAAATGCATTTTATTAACTTGAGAAGTCTGCATCAGAGAGAACAATAGAAAATATATTGACAAAGTAGAAGTTGGGTTCTGACATTTAAGGGTGGGGGTTGCGTGCATTGACGGCAGCATAGCACTGTAAGAGCGTTTATACCTACATACTGAAGGCTGACCGTATATTTTCAAGGTCCACTAGCTTATCCTCATCCTAATCAATGATGAGGAAACGCCATAGTTTGGAGAAAGTTTTCGAAAATGGACTGGAGTCCTAGTTTTTAATTAATATTATTGTGTTCAAACCAGCAGCATAAATTACCATTACTTAATAATAAGCAGCTGAGATACCAATATAATGCAACTTTAAAAGTTTAATAGAGTATAAAATACCTGTTACTATAACTACAAGAATATTTCTTAAAACCTTTAATATTCAAACAATAAACCAACATTTAAAAATCAACATTGCAAAAATACTGTACATGAAAGAGAAATTACATACAAAACACAGTCTAAGCAAATACCCTCAATGAAGATCTGCAAAATAAAATGATACAGTAGTAGTACATCACAAATTAACGACGATGAGGGCGCCATCATCATAGCTCAAAGGAGGAAGATAGTAGTGTCATCGTACTAAATACAAAAATACAGTGACACGACTATGTATGAAATGGTAGGCCTATGGTTGAATACAGTTATGTACAATTTTACTTGCTATAAATATACTTTTAAATATTCTGAATAACTGGCAAGATAAACATTTAACTACAGTATTGATAAAATGATGTACTGTATTCATATTGGGATTAGAAACAAAGCAATGCCTTCATATAACAAGACAAATAAATTCAGTTTCTCTACCACTTCAGCTATGATATATTGGTATATAAGTTGGTATACTCGATTAAAATTTTATGTTAATGACTTATGTTTTCAAGGTACAATTACGATTTGGACAAAACCGAAAAACCTTTGCTGCTAAGTGAGGTAGAATGAGTGTTAATTATATAATGCATTTTCAAGAATGCAGTACAACCATGACAACCTTGTATAGATTAAACCTTTAATTTTTTCTTGTTTTTATTAAAATCTCTACTGATGTTCTAAATTTCATCTAAAGACATCATGGAAATCACGTAAGGTCATGGATTCGATGTCGAATTTATGAAACGTGATAGGCTCGGCACCTTGACCTCTGATGATTAGTGCCTAAAATTCATTACAAACACATAAAATATACAGTAATAATGAGCGATTATTATTGTTATATAATTTTCATTAACTATTTGAGCCTCTCCGAGTATCTTTCCTATTCTTCCTTCATTCTATTTCTTCTCTTTGTATTGATACATATTATAAAATTTATTAATAAATACTAAAAATATGTTAATTAAATTTTAAGTAAGTATGATATAACCTAAATTATTAATAATAATAACATTACTTAATATAAATTTTCCAAAAACACTGTTTACATTGTATGCTCTATTAATACATTTCAATCTTCCTATGTTCAAAGCCAGAGTTAGCTGGTCTTGTGCCAATCTAGGCCACATCAGATAGGCTCTCTTCTTTAAGGCTTCTACAAATGGATGTCTGTTGTGGAGCATGAAATCAAATTGTCCCGCCCCGGTACTGCCTGATTATATATCGACGGGAAATCTACCAATAACTCTGATTAACTCACTGAAGTTCCTGTCATTTGATTGGTTGAATAAATTTTACAGTCACAGTTTGCTCAAGGTTTTTTTTTTCATTATTGATGTGGCTGTGCAATTTTTTTTTACCAGTTCATGCATTGACCGGCAGTGGTAAAGGAAAGGAAATAAGTTGGCCGAATATACAGATCATTTTATTTTAGCATACTGATTTATATTTTTGACATCATACATTTGTAGAGTCAAGAGGTTAAGCAAACGAAAGCATGAAATTGCTGTGACGTGAATTTGACAGTCAACAGTGTTTTTCTGCTTTAACAAAAATCTTAAGCTTCATATAAATCAGTTTTATATATATTTTTATAGATAACTATGAATTTTAATATTTAAAATAAGGGCAAATATAACTTATTCAAGTATAATTTTATTGAAAATAAGTTGACTGTATGTATATTATTTATAAAAACAAAATTAAAATATATATTCAATAAATGAACCAAGAACATGGAGGTTCATACTACTTTTACTTTTCTTAAATTTATATTGTTGGTATTCTCTGAATATTTCTTAAATATAATATACAGCAACCTTGAATTACACCTTCAGGGAAGGCGGTCTGGTGCAACGATTCCCATTCAGGTTCTAAAACTCATGGTCGGGAATTTGAGCCACTCGCTTACCATTCCCTGCCGACCATGCTAGGCCTAATAACACAAGCTTGCATTGCTGACAGGCTGTGAAGTGGTTTATGTCACCCAACTAATGCTAATTGATTACTTTACTTTAAAATTGATGTTGACAACTTTTATATGATAAAAAATATATAAAAAATTGGATTTTTTAAATAAAATGGACATACCATTATGGAATGTGCTGAAGTTATGGAAAAACAGATGCCAACAAACTGACGAAGATCAGTCAAATATGTGCGTAAAAGGTCAATAAAGTACATGCTTTTTAAGGTAAACTGTAGGTACCTAAAATATATAAAATTGTGTACATAAAAGTATAAAACTGAGTAACTAGTAGCAGTTTGTAGTTATATTTCTGATAATACAGTACAGTAGCTCCATTTTAAGGTAAACTTTCCAATGAAAATTTTTCTTGGTTTTAATCAACCATTTTAGTAAATGATTGAGTAACATTAATATATTATTGGCACTGCACAACTGAGCCTCTTAAACCGGGCACACACTGTTCAGACTTGTCGGCTGATGCAATTTTGTGGAAAACTCATTGTGACGGGGCGTGTGCAATGCATGTTTTTTAATGACAGTTGCTTAGTCAGATGCCATTAACAATCAACAGTCAGTCGTCAAGCGTTCACAGAGAATGGAAATGGATTTGTCAGCTGATGGTTGGTATGAGCATCGTATGACGCAGTGTGTGCCAGGCCTTAATCTTCAACAACTCACAAACTACTTAATTGCAAATCTTGGTTAATGACGCTCAATCTTCACCAACTAAACTGGTACCTGTCTTCACTCACATGAATTCGGGTTGTTGGTACTGACCAAGGAGGCGTTGTCTTTCGCGCATTAAACTACGCATGATATCCTCTTGTTGGTGATAACGGAAAAGTTTCACTGATACAAAAATCATCTCAACAAACCAAACAATCAAGGAAAACCAGAGACCAAACTAAATTAAGTATAAAAATATAACAAAACAAGCATTACTATATTATCCTTTGGGGAAAATAACCTTTCCTATTCCATTCCATATTTATTCAATCAAGACAGCAATTATGTGATGTAGTACTGTATTAAGTTAACACTTTATAGATTGAAACTGCGGTAAATCTGTTTTTGGTGATAGATGAATGTTAAAACGTATGTAATAACCAAGTTACAATAGTTTAAAAGTTAGCTTTTTGTATTTTTGAAGAATGAATTAAGAATACTTCATCAACAAAGACTTACTTGTGTTATTCCAAATTGAATGCTAAATTTGGTAGCATCAATATTATCAACATGGCTCCATATGTTTGAATAGCCCACCATTTCACACCTGTTAAAGGCCAAAGAATGCAACATTAAACTTCACACATCACTTCAAAAACACTCATTTTTAACATTACCATATTCCCAAATACATCAATTTTTCAAAGATTAAAGTTCACATGATTCTGATATTGGAAAGCAGCTCCTCCTTACAAAATCCCTAGGAAATACTGATATGGAAGGCACCGATTTTTAGTAGGAGCCCAGGGCTGCGCTCCCCTGAGAGCTCATGGGCATTACGCCACTGGCTAGCTGGCATATAAGTTAAGTTTAACTACTTGAGCACAGGTTTTTTTTTTGCCCAGCTAATCTCCACACCCTTCTGTACATTTGCCAAACTCTAGATAACTGGAAGTCAAAACAGAGTTGTTATGGTAAATTATATTGATACTGGTGCCATGGTATTGGTATGCTTTTCAACTTTCATGTCAAACAAAGGATAAAACAAAAGACGAATAAGCCTAGAAAACATAGTAAAGAAATAGTTTGATGATAATAATTACAAAAACACTTCACACAGTCTATACATACATAAGCTGTTCCTCCATCTGACACTTAGTATCTTGGGACTTGTTCAAGAAAGTGACAGGAAGTGTTTTTACCATTTTTATATACAGTAAAGTTTGAGCAAACTATTGTACAAATATATATTTTAATACAATTTAATTAATGGCATGGAGCTTGTAAAAACATAAGTACTGTATTTACAATTATGTGATAACTTACGAACTAACAAAACTGTGTGTTGTCACTGAACGACACCAGGCCATAAATCCGATGGTAACAACAAGGCAGCAGATAAGCATCATAAAGGAAAACAGCAACGTAGATAGTGTTGTCATAAATACTCCGATAAATGAACTGTAAATAATTAAGACAGAAAAGGGACTCAACAGCACCTTTCAACATTAAAATCAATCATGGTTTTGACGATGATTAGAATGTTGATGTAATGGTGTAATCACATTATTTAAACACATCCAACAAACAAATTGTCAACAGTAGCATCAGCCAAAGGCTATAAATATACAAAATTCAGGATGAAATCAATTAAGGCAACACCACCATTAACATGGAGATGTGCAGTGCAGGCGGTTTCGCAGTTTACGACAACATATGGACCATACAACCATTCAAGTTGAAAAAAAAAACCAAAAATAAGGCCTAGGCCTAGTAGTAATACTGTACCAGTAAAGGTCTCCCTCTAATTTATAAAGATCCACTCCCTCCAAATATAAACCACCTTCAATTGAAGACCACTTTTCTGTGGTCCCAAATTAACAAATTTCTTTTATCTTTATTATTTTAATTAGAGACACCTATTCAGGGGACACCACCATTAACATGGAGATGTGCAGTGCAGGTGGTTTTGCAGTTTACGACAACATATGGACCATACAACCATTCAAGTTGAAAAAAAAAACAAAAATAAGGCCTAGGCCTAGTAGTAATACTGTACCAGTAAAGGTCTCCCTCTAATTTATAAAGATCCACTCCCTCCAAATATAAACCACCTTCAATTGAAGACCACTTTTCTGCAGTCCCAAATTAACAAATTTCTTCTATCTTTATTATTTTAATTAGAGACACCTATTCAGGGGACACTAACCAAAAACATGAAAGTGTCCCTTTAATAGGGGTTTTTGGCATGTTTTGAAACAAACGACGACATACATTCTTTTGTCTGTTGAATGCAGTAATGTTTTCTTTTTTTTGTTCTTACTTCATGAGTACATGTAATTCAGCCGAGGCTGCGATTTGTATGAAGTTGCAAATAGAAGTTCTGATACAGTATATTTATACAGTATTACAATTCAATTATAATATGAAATCAGCAGAAATGTAATTTCCCAATGTTATTTCATGATGCAATGGTAATGACCAAATATTATTTCTTTTTAATGTAAAGCTTTCTAAGGGATGGATGTAGCATGAATTGAGTAATTAAGGGTGCATGTTATGGTATGGATCAGAATCCTATACTGTATTATGAAAGTAGGCCTATAGAACATAAACCTACATGAAAATCAAAGAAAAAGAAATCCATCAAAATTGACAAGATTGTTTTAATATGAAGTAACACATGCAGCAGGCCCCCAATATTCACTCTAAGGGTTCAGAAGAGAAAATTCTGGTTTATTACTTGATCAAAATGTGTTAAAATATAAAGACAAGAAAATATTTTCTTCTGTAGTTGTTGTGACACAATGAAAAAAAAAGTGTCCCCTTAAAATACTGTAGGGATTATTTGACCATTTGGCACACTCAGAAAGTGTCCCCCATCCCATTAATAGGGGTTGGTCGTAGTGTTATATATTTTCCCTGGTTTCACGGAAAAGTGTCCCCTCTGTATATTGGGTGTCCCAAAGGAGGGGTTACTGTAGTATAGATAGGATCGGGCCTTCTTAGGCCCTTCTATGTAACTTACTTACCTGTCTGTGTCATTTGCTAGGTGTATCGATAACCGCACGATTTGCACAAAAGACATAATTATTTGGGCAACTCCCATAAATATTGTATAGGTACAGAAGCCAGGAGCACCCCAACTATCTATGTTGAACGATATGGAAGTGTTTAAAACGTTATCATCATAATGTCCCGATGCAAATAATAAACACTTGCCCTCGAAGGCTTGGCTGTATGTACACATAGGGGGCACTATGAATAAGGAAAGTAAGAGCAGCAGAACAAATCCGCACACTTGACTCAACGCAAGCAAATTACCAAAGCCCATTGTTACAAACCGTCTAAAAACTTCACAGAAAAGGTATTCGTCAAATTGATCTTTATGAATTTCAATAAACAAAGGTTTGAATAATTTTCAGGACAGCAAGTACTGACAATTCGGTTTAACTTTCGCTGGCGTAAATCTAAACCAAATCTAAACACAACAACGAACGTCCAAAAACAACATCGATCACATACATCTGACCGAGGAGGGCGTTGTGCAGGTAGGTCTGAGGCTGACCTTCGACACGTGTCGTAGTATTCCACCACCATGATTCGACGTACCATCGACCACCTATTAAATTTTTGTACTGTCCCTTCATGGCCAGAGCGTTAAACACCCTAATAAAAATTTTTTTTTTTTACTGTTTGGCGGAAATCAGCCACCGTATTTTACACACTGTAGACATCGTTATATACATCAATAGCCGCCGACGTTCTGTCTACAGTGCTCCGTATTAAATGCCAATAATTTTATTTATTTATTTATTACTGTATAAAACTGTAAATTATTGTATAAAATTGCACAACAAGCAGCCAGGCAGCTGAAAACGTTGAGCTTACAAACATCAAAAAGATGAAACAAACAAGATAAACAAGAGATTAAAAATACCATCAGCAAAAATATATAAATGTATATATAATAATAATAATTAGGCCTATTATTAATATTTAGTAGGACATTGTAATTGTTTAATATAAAAATAACGCTAAAAAGAAAAGATCGACGTTTCGACTCCTTCATGGTGTCGTTTTCAAGATCAAATGATGCAGTATAGATTATACAGCAACTATAATCAATAGAAAAAAGCTGAGTCTCCAATGTCAAATTCATAATACGGCCTATATGATGATGATGATATGATGATGATGATGATAGATATACTTAATAATGATGTTTTGTGTATCATCAGTGCTCTATATTGAATGGACGGTGCTGTTAGCTATATTGTAATGAATACATTGTAGATTAGCTGTATATTCTATTAATTACCGTATAGTTGCTGTATATTCTATATTCTATACTGCATCATTTGATCTTGAAAATGACACCATGAAGGAGTCGAAACGTCGATCTTTTCTTTTGCGTTATTTTTATATTAAATATTTATACAAAACGTACTCTCATTGTAATTGTATTTTTCTAATTAAACGGAGCGCTTTCGTGTGTGGCATGCAATAATCCATTCTAAAACACTTGGAAGTAAAATTCAAACGTAATGTATATCATGGTTTTGGCTGACCCAGCTAAAAGAAATTCCTTCATTCAATAAATAGGTACATTAAAGTATAGGCCTACAGCGGTTTTAATGCAATAGGGCCTATATGCTGATGATGATATGATGATGATAGATATACTTAATAATGATGTTTTGTGTATCATCAGTGCTCTATATTGAATGGACGGCGCTGATAGTAATATTGTAATGATTGATAGAAAGAGCACATGACTTGATGTGACTTAACTACCTTGAAATAGTTTAAGCATTAATAATAATAACAGCATACTGTAACTGTAGGCCTTACATATATAGTCTAACAATTTTACATTTACTATATCATTTCTTAATTTCCCTCTAAATAGAGATGTTTATAAAGATATACTTTTAAAGCCGGTCTTTAATTATAGGGATTCAAAGTTGAGACCAAACCTGCAAAACAATGAAAAACCCGGTCCCAAAATGGAATTTCTAATTGGTGGTATGGAGGGAGACCTGTAATAGGATTGAGAAAAAATGGTCCCGACGGCCCTGTAAGGGTACCGTATATTCTTAGGTCCCGACGGCCCTGTAAGGGTACCGTATATTCTTAGGTCCCGACGGCCCTGTAAGGGTACCGTATATTCTTAGGTCCTGAATGTGTTCCCTTAATTGGGCTTCTATTGTAGTTGGGGTTCTCGACAGTCAGCACCATGGTTGAGGCTGAGGTGTAAAAATTTGGGGATATGGACCCCTGGGTCCGGAAATTGCACTCTCATACATTAAAAATCTTACTGGTACTATGTTCATAATAATAAAAACAATATATACCGTATTAACAATACAATACAACAATTTTTTTCTTAATACAATTTAAGGGGTGCGATTGAGGAAATAGTACCTCAAGCTGCCTGGAAATGACACTCTTAGGCCTATATAGTAAATTCATCATCATAACATCCACCATGATTTTTTATCCGCAATTTTCGGCTATCATAGAGATGTACAGGTAATTAATCAGTGTAACATTACATCTCTTACGTACGAGATGTCGTACGTAAAAATAGTTTAATAATAATAATGCAATGAAATTTGTAAAGCGCCTATGAAAGTTAAAAAAATAACTTGCCACCGGCGTTGGAGGAACATTGAACTGGTTAGTGAATATTACAAAAAAAGGTAGGTTTTAAGTTGAGTAAACTGATGAGATAATAGCTCAAAAATATTTTTACGTTGGTAGCAGTACGCTTCCGTACTTTATGATAACAAGCTATACATATATTATCATTTTGAAAATGTAAGATGCATTGAAACAAAAAACAATACAATTCTTAAAAACCACGGTAAACTCTTCTCAAGACTTCAAAGTTGTACTATTACTTTTTATGTTAGATCTATGCCTACCGTACACTTTTTTTTTGTATTTTTAGATTAAAAAAAAAACACAGTTTACGCCCAATCTGGAATTTCTAAAATGTACATGCATCCCAACACCCACTTAAATTTAGGCATGTGATCATCTAATTTTATCATTGTAACAATGGCTTGGCAGCTCGAGGTGTGGGGGGGGGTCAGGACCCACCACACCTCCCTCTCAGGTCCGCCAATGGCATTGATCCCTCCACTCAGGAGTATAAATGTGTACCTTGAGTTGCCTGCTGCTGCGCTGAATACCAGTAGCAACACTTAAAGCATGTGGACCACCGGGGAAAAGAAGTGCGCTTTACAACCTTAAGAAAGAGGCGTCACGCCTATAATACAAGTATCAGATGTAATTGGTTCCACGACTTGGTATTTAGCCTGCTTCGACTGACAGGAGGCTGAGAGGGATAGCCAACCCAGCACAAGGAGTACCTACTCTAGAGATCAAAACACATACAATTCGAATATTATGCGCTAACTCTGTGGCCTACATATTTTACAACTACATAAAATTCAAAATTCAAGGTCACAGTAAAAAAAATACAATACATGAAATTTGCTTTCCTGGTAGAATGAATATATAATGATAATATACTAAAATATAAGATAAAAATATTATTGTACAGAATAACACACGCTGAAAATATTGAAAAATAACAGACCTACAGCAAAAAAAAAAAATGTCAAAAAAAATACAAAAAAACAAAACAATATCTAACAAATCTATCATTTAACATCTTCACTTTGATTGACAAAATGGTGATTCCATATTTGCTTAGATAAATATAATATAAAAACTCCGCAATAAAACAGACATAATTTATGGAGCAATATTATTTATTATTTCACAAATTTCCAACACGATACAGTATTGTGTTCTTCCAAAGGGTATAAAGAAAAATACTACCAATTTTCGATAATACGCCCTCAACGGTATAAATCGTCGAAAAAGAAGAACGAACAAACCGTCTCGAGCTCTGATGACCTAGGAATGCGATTCTAGATTCATAATGGAAAGCGGAGGGACAGACAACGATCTAAGCAATCCTTTATTTGAGAAAGATTTATTTGGTGATTCAGGAGCAGGTAAATGTAGAAAAGTTCGTTGTCAATATTTCAAATTGTTTTTGAAAGCAAATTAAATTAAAATTCGTATGATCAACAATGCTTGGCCTGGCCTATACTATACTATACTAGCTAGACCTACTACTAGGGCCTAGGCTAGCTTACGTTCGAGGCGTGCTAGCAAGCAGCTGACCGGCTAGCATATGCATATATTTTTGATTTTGGCTAAAACTGTTCTAGAAAATATATAAAAAAATTAATAGGCCTAGACCTATTTTAAGCCCACATAGCCTAGCCTAGGCTAGACTCAGTCTCTAGGCCTAGTACTAGTAGTAGCCTATGGAAATCAAGCTCACTTCTTAGCCTAGCTAGGCCTGGCCTAGTCCTAGTAGGCCTAGGTCTAGTAGTACTTAGAGTCTTGAGCCTAGGCCTAGCTTGGTAGTAGTAGAACTAGCCTTGTTAGAGCCTGGTCTACTATCTATCTAATACAGTATGTGAGGAGGAAGGTCTTCATAGGCAGCACCTTCTGGCTTGCACCATATATGGCTTAGTCCTCCTAGGCCTACTCTATATTCTTAGTCCTAGACATTTAATGTTGAATAGGCTTAGATAAGATATACTTTCTTTACTATGTCTAAGTTAAAATTACACCGTCTGCAGGTATCGTAGCGTAGGGTGCTGTGATTGGTGGAAACAATGATGGATGAAACTGAAGCAGCAGATGAAAATCGTATCAGAAATTGCTCGGGTGCACCTGGCTGCACTGTATGGCACTCTTAACAAATAGGCATTTTCAATAAGAGACCAGACATGCAAAATGGGGTGATATCAAGGTTCAGAGTGATGAATATCCTCACCCAACATTTTACTTATAGTAAATAGTTATAGCAAGTATTTATGTATGGACGATATTGGCACATAAAGTTCATTTTAATAATTGTTTATCATCTCATGCCAATCGTCTGTTACAGTGGCAAGATTGACGCGTTGTTGCTATATTAATAACAAATTGTGCATATCTTGATAAATAAAATTCACATTCAGCTCTTTCATTTTGCATTGCAGATAATGGAATGAATGATGATAATTTAATGGGTGATTTAAATTTTGGTGGAGATGCTGGCTTAGATCCTCCATTTCAAAAAGAGCTTGAAAACTTTTTGGAGGCCACTGGCTTTGAAGAAACAATTGATCCACCATTAGCAATTCCGTCAGGCGAGGAAAGTAATCAAGCTTTAAGTACGTCACAGACAGAAGAACCCATGCAGACAGAAAGTACTGAAGATGTTTCAAGTGCTGGCAATAACGGAGAGCATAACACTGAAACAAATGAAGATGCTGCACACATATCAGATGTTGCAGACGACAACATGGAAAGTGAAGAAAATGAAAAAAAAGCAATGACAACAGAGGAAGCTGTCAAGGTAGTAGAATCCGAAAATAAAATGGAATCTGAAGAAAAGGAGGGAAAGGAGGTGGGAAAGAATGAAGAAAAATCTAAAGCACAAGATGAAACCAAGGACTGTGAGAATGAGAAAATGGAGGATGATAGCAAAACTAATTCCAATTCGGAGGAAAAAGAGAATGAAGGGAAGAAAGAAATAAATTCAGGGAAGTCGGATGAAAATGATGGAAAGGAAGAAAAGGAGGAAGAAAAGGAAGAAGAGAATAAGGAAAAAATTGAAGAGGACAAAGGAAGTAATAAAGAGAAGCAAGAAACAAATGAAGATAAGGAAGAATGTAAGGAGGAGGATGCCAACAAGCAAGATGATTCAAAAGATGAGAAAGATGATAAATCAGATGATACAAAGACAAAGAAGGGTAAAGATGACAAGAAATCGGATAAAGTTCCAAAAGAGCTTGCACATCATTGGAGAGCCGTAAACAAAAACCCAACAGATTTTACATCATGGAGTTACCTTCTGCATTATGTCGAGACTGAGGTAAGTGGTGTAGTAATCTGTTTTAACACACATAATCTCATCTTAGGGAAGAAGTATAATCATGATATCAAATTTCTAAAATTGTAAATTAAATTCTGATTTGTTACATTTATAATTTCAATTCTTAATATATGCTAAAGATATGAATTGAATGTTTTCAATAAAATTTACAGTGTACTCTTATACTGTAAAATTGTACAGTTAATTCTTCCTATATTTTAATTTTTGCAAGCCTTGATTACTGGTTGGTGGAACAATGAATGAATTTACAACAAATTGTTTTCAAGCAGCTGGATTTGCCAGCATTATTTGTTAAAATAAAAGGCTCCCCTCCACTTTAACCCTTTCTTCTGATAACAGTGGACTCAATTGCCATGCTATACATGTCTCAATGATTACTGAACTCAACTGTTTTACCTAGAGGACACTAAATTATTACCAACATTGTTGGGTGTTCCTGTTCATATATATATCATGTCAATTAATTCATACAGGGCCATCTTCCATCGGCCAGGAAAGCATTTGAAGAATTCTTTAGTCGATATCCGTATTGCTATGGGTACTGGAAGAAGTACGCCGATCTGGAGAAGAAAAATGGAAATATGGACATGGCAAAGGAGGTAAGTCTTACTCTGTGAAACTATGTGTTAAGCATCGCATTTGTGTATCAATTCCGTTAATGATTGAATAAGCGCCACTCTTGGTTATGCAATACACCTAACATCATCATCTTTTCTTTTTTTTTTTTTTAGTAAGTATCGCACCCATACTCTGCAGCATAAACTTTTTGATAATGCAGACGTCGCTGAGTTTAATCAAATAAATGTTTATTATCAAAACATTTATTTTTTTTTAAATGTATGAACATTCCAACAAGTGAGATAGGCCTATGTAAAGTACAACACATCGTACCATTTTAAGACTGCGGCTGTCTTGAAAATGCCCAAAACTAAAGCATTTGAACTTTCATAACCGCTGCGGCGCTTGTTTGATCATTTACGTAACTTAAAATTTCTATTACAGGTCATATAACAAACTTTCTTTAGTTTCTAGAAATAGGCTCTATTTGTTTTGCTGTGAAATTCCGCAAAACTGTTGAAGTGTTATAAAGGTAAGAAAATCAGGAGTATCGTCTATAGTATCCTGAATATCTGTAGGCACAATATCGGTACAATGGTCCGCAAGGTCCATACAATGCTATATGAAAGTTGACTCCCATTTTTTGCACAGGAAACTTTAGCAGATTATCTATCAGACTATCAGACTAGTCGCAACTACTTGGAGCAATTGTGGAGGCACGTGCTTACCCCACCAAAGCCAATGGATCGGTCCATGCACAGGTTTTTTCTATTTCTTGTTTCACCTGGCCGATATCCGTGTTTTTACTAATCGGTACTAGTTAGGCAACGTGCTTGCATCAGATATCTACATGAGGTGTGCAACTGGCAAGCTTGAGTGAAAGCCGGTACAATTTTTTTTTATGTACTCGATAATAGCTTTAGTATGTACTATCGGTTTTCACCAAGTTTGTCATTGATTTAAACCATGTTAAATAAACTTTATGTTACTTTATGTTTACAGGTATTTCTGCAAAGTTTGAAGGCCATTCCATTAAGTGTGGAATTGTGGATTCATTTTATTAACTTCACGATGCAAGCTACAAAAGATGAAGATGATCGTGTAGACACTATCAGAAAGTGAGTGAGATTTAATAAGTAAAAAAGAGAATATTTCTAAAATGTTAATATTTTTCTTGAAATAGTTTTAAGCCCTGTCCAGACTATCAAATTTCATTTGACAAAAGCATGTGACATGACTAAATATGGTCATGGTGACATCATAGCATGACCATATATATGCACATCATGACTATGGGTATACAACAGTTCTTGGTCAAAGAAGTAATCCATCAAAACCTCAGGGCTTACTTGGGCTCTCACATGATTATTTGAAATGATTTACTGATGTTTAATTGAAGGTGTTTCTCGTATTATTTGCAGGTTGTTTGAACAAGCTATTGAAGCTGCAGGGACAGACTTTAAGTCTGACAAGTTATGGGATATGTATATAAAATTTGAGAAGGAACAGAAAGACTGGAAACGGCTGACACACATTTACGATCGATTAATTAGGATTCCCACTCAACTCTACAGTCACCATTTTGAAAAGTGAGTTACTTTTCTTCTTGAAATAGTACATGGTTTGAGGTGTTCAATAGTCAATTCTGTTTCGCTTCAAAGCAGAGGGAAGTAGTGAAAAATTAGTTTTTTTGTTATTGATATTAGTGAGACTTTTATATAATACTAATATTTTTGTCATGTTATAATAATGCAATGGAAAATTAGAAATTTCAGGAAAAGATGTCTGTATTCTATCTCTCAATATAAATATTTTTCTTTTCATTTTTCCTCAGAATTAAATATAAAGTATTTATCAGTTTATTTCCCCATCACATTCCTTGTAAGAAATTGTGATGGGATCAACCGAGGACCTCATTTTTTTTTTTTTCTATTGGTAAAATTTTATTTTTGTATTCTCTTCACCAAAAAGCTTTGGATATAACTTTATTTATATAAGAATAATACATTTTTCTTTTTGTTCCCCTTTATTAAACATTGTTAAAAATTAAATTAATTAATTTATAAATAAGTGTCACCTTGCATAAATGGATAGCTTCTATAAGGAGATTATTGACCTTGGTCCTGTATATTTTTATTCTTTTAAGCTCTATCTTCACTATCAAATTTTCTTTGACAAAAAACTGTTGTATGGCCATATATAGTCATGATGTGCCTATATATGGTCATGATGTGATGTCATCATGATCATATTTAGACATGTGTACATGTATTTGTCAAATAAAATGTGATAGTGTGGATAGGGCTTTATAATGATGATACAATGCTTTACCCAAGATTCAAGAAGCATTTGAACAGCCAACCAATCAAGGAGGTTCTCTCAGACGCTGAGTATGAAAAATTGCGATCGGAATTCCTTGAGGATATTGAAGCTGAGCTAGAGGCATCCCTGAAGGAAGAGGATGCAGATGTACCAGGTGGAGACGTTGCTCCGCCGGGACTTGACGATGGGCCACCAGGATTAAGTGATGAACCCCCTGGGGTTTCTGATGCATCCACTGGAGAACAACCCAAGAAAACTACAGGCGCCTCATACATTAAACAGGTAATTTTACTTTTAATATTTAATAAATAATAAAAATAAACCTAAAAACCTTGAAAATAAAGCAAAACTAGAAGCAACGTAGGTAGTCATTTCCACAGCATTTGACTGCAGTGGTGCATAGGCCAGCCTGCACATAGTTCACATGTGGTCTAGTGATACTCCACAGCATTTGACTGCAGTCAATTCACATGTGGTCTAGTAATGCTCACATCTATACTTAAAAAAATAATTAATAGTGTTTGATATTTTCTGCAGATGAAAAATGAAACTGATCAGATTAAGGAGAAAGTGTTGGCATCTCGCAATGCTATTCACCAAGAAACAGAACAGGAAGTTAGCAAAAGATGGGCTTTTGAAGAAGCTGTAAGTTTGTAGTGTATTTCTTGCTTTGCATGGGGCTGTCACATTACACAGTCCCTTCTGCTTTCTTGCTGCAACTCATCTGTTTCTGTAGTCATTTATAATTGTAATAATGAAAGATAACAATGTATATTTAATAATAGTAAAATAGGAATTTACCTTGATTAAATTATGATAATTGATCCTGTATCTGACTTTGGTAAATGTTTTCTATGCTCAACTTCTTTCTTATACTTGTATTCTGAGATCATTTCATGTTGTCAATTTAAATATATTCAAATTGCATTTTTGTTTTTAATTTATCTTAGATTAAAAGGCCTTATTTCCATGTGAAACCTTTGGAGAAACAGCAACTTAAAAACTGGATTGAGTATCTAGATTTTGAAATTGCAGAAGGCATGTTGGAACGAGTTGTGATACTGTTTGAGAGGTGCCTAATAGCTTGTGCTCTCTATGAAGACCTTTGGCTTAAGGTAATGGTTAATGTATAAATGTTTTACAAACCCAAAAAAGTTATTGAAAAAATAATTGGATAACTAGAAATTTTCAAAAGTTTTGTGTTGCAATTAATGTTAGATTTTGTCTTGTACCACAATATTTTTCTGGGTGTATGTTGGGATCCTTTGTAATATTCCGTTTGAGAAAATGTTTAGTTTTAATGACACCTAGGTAGGAAAATATAAATTTGCTGGATGGTCAAACCATGTTGCAAAATCACCATTCAACACAATAACCAGCAGGCTTTAAAACACTTGGTTCAAATTACATAAATGGAGATATTTCCTGGTTTTATTGAGATTTTAATCCTGGGATTGTAGAAGATAAGCATCTGCACTACCAAGCTAAGCTTCTACGAGAATATCAAGATATATCTTGGCTCATATGTATAAAAAAATAGTTAATAACTGTGTAACCTTTTTATTCTGTAGTATGCGAAGTTTATGGAACCACATAGCAGTGAAGCAGTGCGTTCTGTTTATACAAGAGCTTGTACAATCCATCTGCCTGCTAAACTAAACATTGTATCACACTGGGCTGCATTTGAGGAAACACAAGGTATGATAGGACCATTCGTATTGGTTTAAACACAATGTGTAGTAATACCACAATATTTTACAGCCGGTCTAATTTATGCTAATTGAATTAAAAAATGTATATCTTTGTAATTCAAAATGTAAATTTGATGTGATCCTCCTGAAAATACTGTGTTTTCTGTTAAGTTGAAACATAGTAAATTCATCCTTAACATTTGATTTTAAAGTATTTCAACTTTGTATATCTTGTAAAGGTGACTTTGAAAAGGCCAGAGAGATTCTAGAAGATCTTGAGAAACGTAATGCAAAATCCTCACTTATCACCTTACGACGGATCAACTTTGAGAGAAGGGTCAAATGCCATGATAAAGCTCTTGAAGTTTTTAAAGGAGCTCTGGAAAGTTCTGACAAGAACAAGATGATGTTCAATTTCTATAGCTGCAAACTTGCTAGATATCACTACAAGGTATGGAATGACTTTGTGAAATAGTTGTGACCTAAGGTTATATCAGTACATTTTATCATTTCAAAACATATACTTTTCTGCAATCCTGCCCCTAAAAAACTACATTATAATGATTGTTGTCATATAAAATATTTACATTCTCTCTGCAGATCTTAGGAGAGTTTGATAAAGCCAAAGAAGTTTTAAATGAAGCACTGCTGAAAGATAAGGTGAGTTTGAGATCCAGGATATTTAAATATTTGTTTTTGGAAGCATTTGACACAGTGGTTGCAATTCAAGCTCTAAACTTGATTTGAACCATCACTGCATATTGCACTTGTGTCTTTGAGCAATGCATTTTACCTACGGTCAGTGTCATATCGGGGGTCCATGGGGAGCACATACACCCCCCTCCAAAAAAAAAAATCACGCTCAAGTAGTTAAAAAATTACCTCAAATCACCTTATTTTGCGAGCTAGTGTCCCCTCACCTAATCACCAAGCTCCCCCACTTAACCTTCACCCCCCTCCCCAATACGGTTGACTGTCTCCACCCAGGAGTATAAATATGCTTGAACATGCATTGATTGATAGCGTAATTATAATTCTCGCAGAATTCCACAGTAGTTTAAGCCTTAATGTGGTATATAAATCCAGAATGTTATTATTGTTATAGTAAACATGGTGTAATCAAATAAAAATATTATGTGTTGAGCTAAAAATTAACATATTATTTTTATAAAACTGAATATTGTTAATATTTTTGTGTCTCTCTTGTGCAGGACAATCCAGAGTTATATCTGCAGCTTCTGGACCTGGAGTTCCAGAGGTCACCTCCCAATGCTGAAAATGTAATGCAGCTCTTCCAGCAAGCTCAGAAATCTGGTCTGGATGCTGATACAAAGTTCCTATTCTCACAAAGACGACTGGAGTTTTTGATAGACTTTGGAGATGATGTGAACCAGTGAGTGAGATGCACTTTAACTGCTCATTTTTATTGGACTGAGTGCTCGCTAGTGTATAAGTATACACAGTATTGCACACTTAAAAAGATCAATTAATACCCGATTCACACGTGAAGTTAAATTTAACAAAAAGTAACAAATTGTAACCGAGCGATCTCCCGAGTTATTCCTACCGAGATAAAAAATATTCACACGCGTCTGTAAGGTAATGCCAAGGTTGTGTAAAATTTATTCAATGAACCATTTTTTCCTACTATACTAGTATTACTCTTGTAATACTAGTATAGTACTAACACCATCCCGACGTTCGTTTTATGTATATCTTCTTCTACCATTACTAATTAACATCAATAACAAGGGTAATTCATTCATCATTGAGAAAAACTAGGCCTATCTATTTCTAGTGGATCAGAATCGTATGCAGAAGGAAGAAAATTCAAAGAACCCCGTGAAACAGTAGATTGTTGTGTTGAAATCCCTGCGCATGCGCAGATCCATCCATGTTACATCTCGGAAGCTTTACCAGCCTCAGCGAGGCTGGTAAAGATTACCTCTCGGAAGCTTTACCAGCCTCAGCGAGGCTGGTAAAGATTACCGAGACGTTCC